AAAGTCAGTATCTTATTCACTCAGTATAAGTTCTGTAAACGTCAACGAAGTAGCATCTTAGGTTACGATGTATGCACTATCCTTGACGGCCATTCCTGAAGTTAGTTAGTAAATTAGAAAACATGCAACTTTATAGATGGCAGCTTCTGGTTTATTTAATTAAGAAAAATACTTTCTTTGTTATCAAACTTAACGTTTAGACGTAGATTCTTACACCTTTGTCAGGCTGGACGTTGCCAGGCTGAACGTTTCAACGTAAATTCTAACAGTCATCAAACTGGGCGTTTCGAAGTAGATTCTTATACCCTTCCCAAGCTTGACGTTTTGATGTAGATTCTTATGCTAATGTCGCTAAATGCACCAAACCTTTAGTCGTGATTAATAAATGTGTATGTTTCCTAGCATACTGGATGTAGTAGGCTAAAATGAAGCTAAATGTTGTGTGCGCAAGTCCTGACGATTGTGAATAAATAGGTGAGTGAGTGAGTGAGTGAGTTTAGTTTTACGCCGCACTCAGCAATATCCCAGCTATATGGCGGCGGTCTGTAAATAATCGAGTCTGGACCAGACAATCCAGTGATCAACAGCATGAGCATCGATCTACGCAATTGGGAACCGATGACATGTGTCAACCAAGTCAGCGAAACTGACCACCCGATCCCGTTAGTCGCCTCTTACGACAAGCATAGTCGCCTTTTATGGCAAGCATGGGTTGCTGAAGACCTGTTCTACCCCGGATCTTCACGGGTCGAATAAATAGGTGATACAAGGAACAGTGTAAAGTACTTTACACAGAAACAGCCTGTGTAACGTCGGAGATCCTGCCTCGAGCTCTTTTCCAAATAAGCTCACATGCCCTGATATAACTGATATACATGTAATGTTAAATCAGACTCACTCACTAACTGACTCCAACAGTGATATTACCTGTTCCACAAAAGCTGATCTCCTATTTTCATTTTGATAACACTTTTAATACACACTGCTCACTACACTACTGAGTGGTGGTTGAGGGTATGGGTTTACCTGCAGCAGGTACACCGCAAGCGTTATCCAGCTGCTGAGTCATAATATAAGCATATGATTGCAACAAGCGAACACTTGAACCACTAGGCTACCTGGACAGGTATTGACTGAAACATATTTTATTCAATTAAGAAACGGATTGGGCACAAGTTATCCAACTTAAATAAGCCCTCTCCACATAAGGCAGACAAAGGGTATAGATATCTACAGACAGAGTTATTTAAATCGTTTAGTGTTATGGATGTAGATATGTACACTTTTAAAAACAGGTAGGTAGTAGACGCAAATGACGCCAAAGGTGTGGGTACGGGTTGGGGTAAGGGAAGACTTGGTTTGGTTTCTTTGTTGTTTAACGCCGCACTCAACAATATTCCCCGGCGGTCTGTAAATAATCGAGTCTGGACCAGACAACCCAGTGATAAACAGGGAAGGAGTTACTTGGGTAGTTGGGTGCACACGCAGTGACATTAAACGAGGTTAAGACAGAAAAAACCGTTGAATGAATGCAAATCAGGAAACATTGTGTTTGTAGACCAAACATTACATAAATTACTTTGTTTTCATTTTGTTGAAAATATGTAAGCAAATGATTCATTTATGAGTATATTTGTATACAACTGGTTAAAATGCTTGAAGAGGAGGTAGACTCTCTCATAGTCCATGAATCGCATTACTTTCCCTTCCGCCCAGCCCTTTCTGAAATATGAAAGCCCTAAATGAAGCAAGTCTAGATTTTCTCGGAATCTCCCTTCTCACGGGGGCTCCTTTTCATTGTGAAAGGACTTGCTTGTTTCTTTCAAAATTATATATATTCAGAGAATAAGCGTTAGTCCAGAAGAGGAGGGTACGCACCCCTTGACGAGATCCACGCATGACAAGGTGTGTCTGTGTGTGTCTGTGTGATGAAAGTCCAGTGACATATATTTCCGCATATTTAGTATATACGTTGTATAAATACAGTAGATGACCTGTGCGCGCTTCCCCACTGCGTTACACCCCACTTCCCCCCTTATGGTGCTTGAGTGTAGCGGAAACAACTGGTTGAATGAAACACAAACAGCATGATGAAACACTGGTGAAATATATTCATAGGATATGCCACAGACTACGGTCGGACGTTACAGGAACTGGTTAGTGGTCAGTAAATAAAAATAGGTACCCCAGTATGTAGCAATAATACGGCCAGCTCTACGCTCTAAAGAAAAGGAGCGGCACTCGCCATGTTGCCCGTTTTGTTTACTTTGACATCAAGGTCGACTTGCGCTCGCCTTTAATGGTTTTGTCCCATATCCCGAAAACAGTCAATATTTCTGTAATTAAGGGACTTATATTATTTAAATCATTTGATTATGTGTAAAAAAAATGTATTATCGCTCGATCTAAACCCAGAAATATGTTTGACACTGAGCTTTCATAAAACATAATCGACCCGCATGTCGATCGACAAATGGCAGGTGACCCTCCTTTATCTACTTTCATATAGAGGGTGTCTATATATATATATATATTGCTGACCAAAAGCGAATCCCTGTCTCAGGAATCCGGAATAGATCTCGGTTGGAACTTGTCTTACGCCAAACATGCTTGTCGGAAGAGGCGACTTATTTGAACGAGTGGCCAATCTCGGCGGCTTAGGTTGATTCTTGTCATTCTATACCTGTTTCGTGGCTCATGATGCCAATCACTGGATTATCTGGTCTAGTCTCCATTATTTACAGTCCTCTGTCATACAGCTGGAATATATCCGTGTGCGAACTTTAACCAAAAAACACAGTCAGGGACAATTATTATATCTACATGAGGCATCAGACCCTTAGTGTAGTTAAACTGTGCTGGGGTTCATTCATAACGCAGACTTGAATGAACAAAGTGGGTAAGCATGGTTTTACGCCGCTTTTAGCAATATTCCGGTGGAGGACACCAGAAATGGGCTTCACACATTGTACTCATGTGGGGAATCGAACCCGGGTCTTCGGCGCGAGGAGGGACGCTTTAACCACTAGGCTACCCCACCGCCCTGCATGAATTGACAGGGGACATACTGGAAAATAGATGCTTTGTTTGCAATGTTCCTTAGAAGTCTGGGGTGGTGCAGCCCAGTGGGTTAAAGCACTCGTCAAACCGAACCAAGGTTCGATTTCTAGTATGGGTACAATGCGTAAAGCCCATTTCTGGTGTTCCCCGCCGTGATATGACTGGAATATTCGTAAAAGCGGCGTGAAACCCCAACTCACTCACTAACCCCTCTTCTGTAAATTCGAAGTCTCTTTTCCACAGTGCGACCAGCTTCAGTTTATTATTCACAAGCAGACAGACAGTTTTATTCAGTAAAAGGCCACTGGCTCATAATACAGTCAAATGCATGATCACATATCACATGGGTGGTACACATGAATCTATAAAAATGATCTGCTCTTAATTCTAATTTGTACATAATATAAAGATAAACCAACATTGTTAATCACATCAACAGTCAGATTGCATAACATGCTTATGCCAATAATGATTGTCACCCCCCCCCCCCTAGCCTATGAATAAAATTGAAGGGGGGTGACAACCATTATTGGCAGGAATATATTTATAAAGTTATTTATCGTATGAGGTTGACTAACATATTTCACAATATATTTATCTCTAACATCAGAAAGATATTCACACATATACAAAATATGCCACTCATCTTCCACAATATTAATACATTTTGATTTACAAAATAGACAAAATCTTTCATTAGAAGCAACATTTACATATCTCCCAGTCTCTATTGCTAAGTTAAAATTTCCAAATCTGAATTTTGAAAGGGCAGATCTCAAATTTAAACAAATGTTACAATTTAAGTATTTTTCTGCATCTAATAGGGTTTTATGCTGACAATAAGGGACCGTTCATAATTATTGAGGTGGGTGGCGGTGGGGTGATGATGATTTTTATGGAGAGGCATGTACAATGTGAATGACACCACCCTAAAATTATGTACCAAACAAGTGACCCCCCTTGTATGTCATGTACAAAATCAATGCCCCCCCCTCCCCTTCTCATAATTTCTAAGCATAATTTTAAACATGTTTTTATGTACACAATTGCTGACCCCCCCCCGAGTACGAATGTACAAAATAGATCTCTCACACTCACTCACACACACACACGCACGCACGCACGCACGCGCGCCATAAATTATGAACGGTCCCTGATAATTAGTTTTATAAGAATTTTCAATGGAAGTATACCAGGACTGCTTTAGATTACCGCTACATGCAGTCGCTAGCATTCATCCTACACAGACCGATTTCTGCTTCAGTTCACACATTTACAACTGAAATTAAGCTAAATACATATCCAAACATATTCTTAAATATGACTCTCTTAAAGTGAACTCCAGAAGTACTTTTAGAGCTAGACTGCAATAACGGAACGGTACGAGTTTTTTCGGTCTTACAAAAATACTCCATCGATACACATTAGTGAATAGATTATGTCGTAATTCAAATCGGTGTGTACGTCAAACGTTTCACAATATGACTGACGCCCTATTATATGAGATCTCTCTTACATGCGTGCATTGTGTCGGCGTATTTTTTTATTCATATTAAATGACATGTTGGACTAAAAATTATTTAAGTGTTGATATTACACAAAGGAATGGACGTGAATAGAACATGTTTCGGTAAGGTACACCCAGACCGTTCAAAGCCTATTATTTATTTCGCAAGAGGGTATTTTGAACGTGTACTATTAATACACCTTATTTCATTTAGGCAAGACATCCACCTGGCTAGTCGTGGAAGTTGTAAACTTGTTGGGATTTTCCAGAGATGTGGAGTTTTAATCTCTCATCACCGTCATAAAACAGTGTCTGTCAGTTGCTATGTTTAGATCAATCGGAAAGCAAACACGCTGTTATCCAATGGCAGTTAGGTACAGGTACCACGTGACCATCACAACCCAAAATAGATACACGCATGGCGTCACTGAAGCAAGACATTAACAGACAGTATATAAATGGTCCGTGGTGCATCCGATGCACAGAAAGTACACTTATCAATAGGTAATCTACTACCTGCAACACGAACTCGTCTAATACAGACAACTAACTTAACTGGATTAATATTCTTGGAAGAACTCAGCAAGGTAAGACTGTACGTTGTGATAGGACAGGTTAGAATGTGGCCTAGATAACGATCTCGCTATACATGTCTAACGTGTGTGTATCTAACACTGAAGCTCTGTTTCTGACCTTTAGTCCAAGCACAATTGTTGTTTTATGAGCCTATGTCCATTTAACACAACACGTACCTGTGTTCCAGTGACTCGGAGGGGAACAAACTACAGCCATTGTGATTCAATGTTTGTTTGATTCAACCCTCAAGCCCAAACATTCTTCTCCTTAGAAAGCAGTTGCAGAAAAATGCAACTTTCTTATTGTACCATGTTTACAATTTGTTTACATTAACTGGCTATATGAAATCTGTAATTCGGTGGTCTTGAAAGTTATTGTTTTGTTTAATTTCACAAACTGTGTCTTTATCAACGTTTTAGCAACGTCTATAAACCTCAAGAGCTGGTTACGGCCAGGTGAAATAATTCAAATTGGTAACATCTTTGAAGGGCATTTAGAAATTAGTAAAGCATTTCAAAACCAATATCTCATTTTGGAATTTATTACATCAACACGAACATGTGAAGTTGATAAAGAAATCAAACAATAATTTAAACATTTCATAACAATATTTTATTGTAAAAATAGTTATGCACCTCGACTTGTACCGACACGTTAAATCCTGCCATGAGAACAGTACAATGCTGGGGAGGATAATTGGAAAAGAAGATCAGTTACATGGTTTCACAACGAATTCACAATAGCAACCAAGGCCGAGCCCAAATAAGGAAATCTAATCCCCATGGGTTAATCCGCAGAACCGTTAGAATAATCTCTGGACTGTAATAACAAAGATACCGTTGAAATCAATAGCTACCGGTCATAAGCACGTGCTGGCGTGCCAGGTGCCTTTTCACTGACCAATGAGCTTGCAGTGATCTATTGACTTTGATCGGTCAGCCGTGGTCAGAAGGGGAAATACCCTTGCACATTAATATCGGGAGTAACTAAGTGGACGCCATGCACATCTGGTCAGTCTAGAATATTCAGCTGTTTCCCTTTTGTCGTCAATTCATCAACGAGCATTCTAATTCCGAGGTAGGATGTATATTTGTCAACATGCATTTGTTTTCGATCGCAATCTGAGGTATATATTCGACAAGTGTGATATGACATTTATATAAATACATATTTAGTACAGGTCACGTATGATATTAATATTAATTAATTTATTAATTATTAAATCCCGACGGGTGTGCTTCAGTGCCTATCGTCTTTAGTTTGTGCCTGTTTAACCGTGTAGTTCGTCATTTTTACCAGCACTTATATTGAATATATTATTGAACTTACAGTAAATCATTTCCGTTGTATTTATTTCTGAATGTTACTTTTCTCGGTATGATTTATATATACTGAGAATTAGGTCCATAGAATATATCGTATATCTCGGTTCTGGTGCTATATATTTATGTTAAATGAAGGTACTGTTATTGTTAATCAACATATATCGGATAAGACGGGAGCTTATGGAAAAGACATACATACAGATATGTAGGCCTATAGGCATATTTGTAAACATATATATCTCAATGGTCATGTGTGAGACATGGTAACGTGTGCGTGACAAGTACGAACATCCATATTTGTGGTTTGTTCATCTCAGCTATTAGATCGATACATAAATGTTGATTGGTTATATGCCAAGGCCACTCAGTGTTGGAATATTTCATAAGTTCAGAGTAACCTCGTTAATTCGGAGTAATTAATCGGGAAACCCCGAGACTACTGTTATAAACGCTCACATATAACATAGAACAGTTCCCTGATCCAAGTGTCCCTTGATCTTGACGCTATCAGGGAGAACAGTCAAGTCTGTATCAACGAGGTTTTACTATAATACCTGTACCCGTTTCACTGCCAAACATAAACAGTGTAGATTATTCAGTTAGATATACAACACACTCCTGTTCAATACCTGACGACCAGCTGTGCCTGCTGTGCTATGTGCTGTACAGGTAACATGCCTGACAATGGACAGGTAGATCTGTTGTTGATCACAGTGTTATGTTTATGTGGTTCACTGGGCTAGTCATAAACATTCTTTCTACGCGTCACTGGTCACTGAGCCAACAGACGAGGTACGTGATGAGCGTATATGTTGCCAGCGTTACGTCTCTGGTGTTAATGCAAAGGTGCTAATTACCCAGTTATATTAGTATCCGACTTGACAAAGCTTGTCAAGGGAAAAACATCATATCAAGATTAGATAACACTGGGATGCATGCTGGGAAAACCATGTCTGGATATCAGACAACATGCAGCCTCAGAGCAATGCAAATGATATCACTGGTATAATGACATTTAAATTTAAATCTGACCCCATCTGATCATTTGTGTGTATATCACATCATGTATGATAACGACATTGGCTCGCGACTTGTTTAGTACTATGCATGAAAAGTGTGGTTTTATGACATTGGCTCGCAACTTGTGTTCGTACTAGTAGCAACTTCACCTTTACATACTTTTATGTATACGTAATGACTTGCTGGGAATCCAAACCTTTCGTCGGTATGGCGACCGAACGCTTAAACACTTATAGGTCCAACTACGCTTTAGCCCTCCAATCAATAAAAGCAAGAGTACTAATTAATTTGAAAATTGAGCTCAACACACGTTACGTCATCTTTCGATGTATAATCATTAATAATCTTATGTTTCAGACTACTACAATGGGCAACCAACTGAGCACAGACACTCTCTGTTCCACAGACTCGGACGGACATAGTTACTGGGTCGGCATCGATTGGAAATCTTTTGCAAAGGGCAAGCGGAAGAAGTGTTATCAGGGCTGCTTGAACGGCCTTGGGCCAAGGTCAGGCGAGACGGTAGTCGTGAAGGCCTTCAGAAATCAACTTCGGAGTCAGGAAGTGTGGCAAAATGAGGAACTTAAAGGACAAACGGCCAATCTGATCTTGGATATGTTCAACAGCCAGTACCCTGGACGGTGGGACATTAAAATCAATGTTCCAATAGTGGCTCTCATGGATTCCGTGTCAAAGATAAACGACATCTTGGGCTACAGAAGCAGAAGTAGAAGCCTCAACGACAATGAGTGGGTCGGAATAGAAGAACACATTCCAGGGAGGTTTACACATTTCTGTGTGACGAACACAGTATGTGAACATGAGAGAGCAATACTTCTGGAAGCCTTCTCCCACTTCACGTACCACCAGTCACGAGGAGCTCTTGTCATTTGTGATTTCCAAGGAGTCCAAAATGGCGGGGCGTACCACGTGACCATTCCCGTCATCCATTCGCAAAACGAAGAGTTCGGCGGCACAGATCTGGGCGCGCACGGAATCAACGAATTTTTCAAAACTCACCGCTGTAATGATCTGTGTAAGAAATGGTCGAGGATGCAGCCACTCTCGCCACCTCCGTCATTTGAAGACATACACGAGCTACTGCCTCTACGAGCCGTTCCATCGGCCCCACCAATTGACTGTGATGGTTGAATAAACTCCTAGAATGTTGTTTTAAGCTTCTGCTGCAATCCCAATATTGCAAGAAAAAGTGCAACTGGCACTGTCGACATGCTCGTCAGGTTTGTGTCACCTGGAGCAAGCGTGTGTTTCTAAGCGTGAGGAAATATACCACCTGAAGTGGAAATGCTGTAGGTAATCTACAGGAGAAATCTCGTGAGTCCGTATCTGGTAATACAGAACCCCCTCCTTCAGGACGATTACGGCTGAAGCTGACATTTATGCAAATGCTATTTGTACATTTGCGGTTGTTGGTTAGCCTAGTGGCTAAAGCGTTCTCTCGCCACACAGAAGACCGCGCTAGGTCACTTTCCCCACATCCCTACAATGTGTGAAGTACATTTCTGGTGTTCCTCTCCGTGGAATTGCTAGAATATTGCTAGGAGCGGCGTAACGCCACGGCTCAGATTGACGGCCTTTATATAGGCTGTTTCAGTAAAGATACGGTTTCAACTTCACGAACACTTGCCAAAGAACATAATCGCAAACATGAACAGGTTCTCGGAAAAGGTGGAGACCTTTTTAAAGTAACATTGCGAAGCACTGGTGCTTTTATGGACGCTTCTGTGTACCATGGTGATGTCATGAATTTTTATAACATGTTAGTGTGTGCTGGTCAACTTTAGTTTAGCACTAATTCTAACACCCCTTTTTGGGGTACATTAATGTAGACCTAGTTTTTTAAGAAAAAGTGTTTGACCATAGATGTGCAATATTTGTTTTTTAAGAAAGATAAAGTGTAGCATGCAATATGACACTGTAGTTGTGCCAGTTAGTCCCTCTTTAAATGAAAACGCATGATCACTGTTCTCTGTTAAAATCACACTGGGGCCTATCGTGTAAGAAGCCATGCCTTCTTCCCTGATTCTTATATGTTGACGTATAATAGACCTATCTCGTGGCCCCTCTCCCACGTCAATCATATTCTTAAAAGAAAAAATCTGTCTCTTAATGTCTCATAAAAAACCCTAATAAGTTCTCGGTCGTGTTGACTATTGACGGTTTTATTTAGACATTTGATTTATGTTTCAATTATGTTTTTACACTCATTTAATTGGGTATTTTTAGACTGATACGTAGAATATTTTACAATTCTGCTTCAAAAGCTGTTTCATGTGCCTTCTACGTATCTTTCACGTGCAGCCTCAAGTGTGTAACGGGGCGGTGGGTTAGCCTTGTGGGTAAGGCGTTCGCTCGTCAAGCCAAAGGCCCGGGGTCGATTCCCCACATGGGTACAATATGTGAAGCCCATTTCTAGTGTCCCCCGCCGTGATATTGCTGGAATATTGATTAAAGCGGCGTAAAACTAAACTCACTCAGATGTGTAACACATGATACGTTATCGAATTAAAAAAACTGTAAACAATCATGTGTGTGTGATGCCTGCGCTCGATCAGTGATCAAACATACGTTATGGACACATGCTAATTCAGCAGAGCATATTTTGATAAATACAATTTGTCATTCATATTTTTACGCAAAACTAATTGGGTAACTGTAATTAATTGCCCATACTTTATGAAAATTCGCTGCTTATCTAGATCTGGAGGTCTGACTACCACAGTTCTTTGTTCATAGTCGTCATTAGTGGACAAATCATACATTGACTCTTGGTGCTAAACTGTATTGTCAATACCCCGTGTTGAAAATAATGATCTGGTTCAGAAGTTGATGGAGACTCCGGTAAGAACAAATGTATACCTATCATGAAACCATTAGCGTTTCATATTGTTCACGAATCTTATGTAAAAGGAATATATTAGTATGCCCTTTTGTTATTATGTTACTGTGTATGTTGTCTCTCCATTCTTTGATGTATGGTCATATTTTACTTGTAATAAAAGAATTGTTGTCAAATGCCACAATCATTGTTTTCTTTCAAATATTCTAAAAAGTAGTATATACACCTGAAAAGTCCTTTTTCAGATTCCCAAAAGAAACTCCATGATTTTCACATTTTGAATGACAAAGTAGCCCGATTGCAATGGAGCCATGAGTCAGAATTCATACCAGAAAGTAGCACTGACTGACTGAATTTGGTTTTACGCTGCTTTATATCCAAATTATCCCCAGAGACAAAGTTTTGATACATGCGCTGCTTGCGCTTCTTAGAGGAAATTGATTTTTTGGGGTTTTAGATGCCCTTTTATAGGCTTCTTCTGCAGCTGAATAAGAGCCTTGGCCTGGTCGACCACTTGTTGAGTAGGAGTAACAAATTTAATCTTAGGCTGTTCTGTGGTTTCTGGTTCTTGTTTGTCTTTCTTCCACTCGGGGTCATACAGTTCCAAATTTTGATCGACAGACTTCATGGCAGATATCTGTACTCTGCGCAATAAGCCTTGATCCTGTAATATCATGGCCATTTGTCGGCATCGGGTAGCACAGTTTGTATTTGCGGATTCATGATGAAAACAAAAATGGGAGCGGCTTGAGGTGAAGTGTCACTGACAATGGTCCACGTATAACTGAAACTCGATTGCCCTCGTTGTCTTTTATATAGATATTCACAGTCTGTAGATCTCTAAAATTCATATGGACATGCTGACATTGAGGAAATGCAAAAGAGCTTTCTTTTCAGTTTCCCATGAGACAGAAACGTCTCAGTGAAGGTTGTTTAGTTCCTCCAACATAAGACGAATCACAAAAGGAATAGATATCAATGTCACGACATTCCGACGGTTTTTTTATCTATGTGTAACCGGAGTGGTTTGGTATATACCACAAAGGCAAATAGTTTTTTGTAGATGTCAGTTTAATGGCAATAATAACTGAAGAAGGCCCTGTAAAAGAATAAATACATTGCATCAAAATACGCTACAATACTTCATGGGCCAATACATGTGAGGCTTAGCAATAAGTACTACAATCATATATAATCAATACAATCACTACTCATTAATCAGGTCACAGAGTAGACATGTGTATATGTATATAATGTTTATATTTCAAGATACACGTGTAGCATCATACAAGTACATAACATGATTATTTACAATATAATATGAAAGAACCCTCACCGAGTGTATGGCACTGTGCCCCTTTGACGTCACAAACGTCAGGAACTATGTTTGCCACACCTGAACATAAACATATACAAATCCAATAATATATAACATTCTACATCTGTACATTATCAATCTACAGTACATAAAATATCTGTTCTAATAACCCATCCCATCATACATACATTCATTCATACATGCAAAGTTTGGCGCATTAGTTTAAAGAAGTAGATATACACATTAGGTTTACCTACACAATAAGTTAGATAACATCCTCCTGGGAATGCTGTCTAAGATTGCAATACACTTACATATATAAAGTATTGCTAAGACCTAGTTATGCTGCATGTAACAGATAGTTAATTTGATTAATATTTACCACATATAACATGATACATGCTTTAAAGGAAGCTAAGAAATAATACATACACACTAAACATGAAAACATAAAATACACAATCCGAATAACTAACCTGTTATAAGCTGTTGCTAGCTGTGACCAGTGACTGAAGTGAAAATGATAGCTGACCCACAAAACACCCTGCTATTGAAACTAAGGGGCCTGGGGCTGGGGCAAGACAATAGAGACAATAGACAACGTAAGCGCAAGGGTGACAGTGCTATTTGGAAAGTGAAGCAGGTTAGATTGAGTGGTTAAGCTAGGGCTAGATTTAGTGATTAAAATACAAATTAAAATACACTTGCTTATATATACATAATTACATACTTCTACATATGCCCCAGGACAAAATAGACATTTCTGTTAGTCCCATCCTCCACCACTGGTTAAGATGTAATGGTTCATTCAAACCCGCTCTGAAGTAAAAAGGTTCGTTGTTGGGATAGAGGCCTCCACTGTCTGTACTTCTGGTATGTTTAGGTGAGGTGAGGTGAGGTGAGGTGAGGTGAAATTGGGTTTTACGTCATGCTTGAGAATATTTCGCTCATATGACGACATGCATGCATGTGTATGTGTGTATGTGTGTATGTGCGGCTGCTTGTACTAGCCCAGACTGAAGCTGGTTTTATAGTGCTAGCCCACTGAGATATCATGCTGCAGTGAAGCATGAATACCCTACTCAGACACATTATACTGACTCCGAGCCAACCAGTCCTTGTTGTACCAATTAATGCCGAGCGCCAGGCAGGGACCAACAAGTACCATATATTAACGTCCTTTGGTAGGCGCGGTCGGGGATCGAACCCGCGACCTTCCGCTCTCTGCGCGGACGCTCTAACCACTACACCGGTATGTTTAGGACTGGTCTTGGGGTGTGGTAACAAGTAGCCCAAACTACTGATGGGTAGTGTTGTCTACAAATTGGAGTTTCACTACAATGACTACAATGTAATTAATGATGATTTGAGAGAGAAAAATCAAACAGTTTCTGTGTTTGCTACTTTTCCACCAAAACACGTTCAAGTGCCAGATGTACTCCACATGAAAGAAGCTGCTTCTTCAGTCTCTTCCATTATAAATAATTTTGACATGGTTTCTCAGTCCTTTATACACTGCTTCCCATCTACTTCTGGGATCCAAGAATTGTATTGTTAGACCAATGTAACCATTTCACCAGACTTCTTTTAATTTCACGTTCCTTTTTCAGAACCTCATGAATTCTGTATTCTTGATGTGGATTTTCAGTGATGGATTGAAGTTAAGCAGCATGAAATGTACCCTCAGTATGTTCACCATCCCAGTCTGTTAACTTGCATAAATCTTTGATGAATTGTAAATTTGTATTCCTGTCTTGTACATAAAAATATATAAATAAAATATGCTTCAAAATGAAGGGAAGGGGTGGGTCAGCTGGAGTCTGTCCAATAGAAATCTGTGTTTGCTGTTATAACTCTCAACCACATGTGATATAATGTGTATATACTTTTAAGTAAAGTCTTTCAACATGTATCTATACAGTCTCATTTTAATGCTTAAAGGTCACATGCAACCAAAAAATCAAACATAATTAAAACACAATTATCACTTATTCATGACATATAATATACATTGCTGGTTATGAAAAAACATATAAACAAAATTATAAGCGTACGATCGCACATCAAAAGTGCAATATTGTGTACTTGGGTTTACTTCCCAAGAAACGAAGCAGCCGGGATACCGAACCCAGTCAGAGCGGGTGGGTGTGCACTCAAGTGTAACGGCTGGTTCATTAGCAGATGCCCTCACAGCTCATTGTGTGTATATATAGAGATGTTGGGTTTGTAAATACATGCTCATTTTTTGTGTATAACATTATGCAATCAACAGACATCATAACATGGCATGTGTTCAAGTATCACACCTGCCTGTCTGTGTAATTACATAATGTGACAGAGACCGAACTCGGGCCATAAATCAATGCGTTTTGTTTATGGTGTATAGCCTGATTGGTGTTAAGTTCAAATTGCATGTGGTCAGTGATCGAAGTTGTGTATTGAATATTGTCATTAGCAGACAGGCAGGCAGACACACAGGTGTCAATAAAACAAGACATTGAGTTTTGTCTGTGACAACGACATATCTATATCACAGTTAGAAATTCTGTCAACGCTAAATAATGACATTGCTTTTAAGTATCGAACTGAGAAAGTGACTCGGTAAGAAGAACGTGTGGTGAAATAGATAAATGAAATTATATAAACAGTTTATTTACTGTCATAACATATAAAAAGCTCGCGCCTGTGAGATATCAACAAAACATTAGGAAAATAGCTCACACCAAAGCCTTCACCGAGTATTCACCGGACAGCCCGCTTCCAAGTTGCGCGAACCTATTTCACTGCGAACCTATTTTTATGAGCGCAGCCCAGCTGTTGAAACCAGTTTCCCGGGGAAAATTAGTGAATCTTTTGAACTCCGATTTCGCGCGTTTTAAGTTGAATTTGCATTTTGATGATTTGTTTCGGTAAGTCCATACCGAAAGGTATCAGAATCTGCAAAGTTGTGTTTTACGTTGCATGTGAACTTTAACTTGCTTTAGTTTCATTCGGTGAAAACGTTGTACAACATTGTGCTTTTTAAGAAATGCTTTGACCTAACGATTCTTGAACTCTGATCCAGAATCCGATTGAAAGATACTGGGTCGTCTGTATGTTCCATAAATTAGTCAATGCAAGTGCATACAACCATAAGCTGCATGGTAAGTCTGTCTTCAGCATGCACCAGACTGTTCTGTTTGGGCGTTGTGTTGCAGCACTCCTGTTTTTCGCTGTTTCATTTCACTCAGACTAAGGGACCGTTCATAATTTATGGCTAGGGGGTGTGATGATGATTTTTTATGGAGTAGCATGTACAATGTGAATGGGAACAACCCCCTCCCCACTAAAATCTATGTACAAAGTAGGTGACTGCTTCTGCGTGTCCTGTACAAAATCAACGAGCCCCCCCCCTCATTATTATTAAATATTTTATGTACACACTTGCTGTTCCCCCTAGTATATGTTACAAAATTGATGACAGTCATTATTTACGTAAACAGATTGTAGCAATACATCCAAAATGAAACAAAAGTGTTGTATTTGCAGTGAGAGTAGGCATTAAATTTATGTAATTGGTAATCGTAATTCAATTTTGGTTTCAGGCCAGCTAGAGAACGGTCCCTTATTATATACAACACAATTTAAGGACACTATTTACGCACATTCATTAAAGTGAGTGAGTGAGTTTAGTTTTACGCCACACTTGGCAATATTCCAGCTATATGGTGGCGGTCTGTAAATAATTGAGTCTGGACCAGACAATCCAAAGATTAACAGCATGAGCATCGATGTGCGCAATTTGGAACTGATGACACGTGTCAACCAAGTCAGGAGCCTGACCACCCGATCCCGTTAGTCGCCTCTTACGACAAGCATAGGTTACTGAAGATCAATATTCTAACCCAGACCTTCACGGTACACACACACATTCATTAGAAGCTGTTCAAGTAGGTTCTTTCCTGACCATAAGCCAGGTTTGGTGATATGGTGAACATCCATTCCAATACCCCAATGTTTATCATGTTTATCGCAGGGACTGGCTTCTGCCAAGTATTTGGGGAAAGAAATATATAATACCCTTCTCTGACTGTCATTCTGAGTACATTTAGCTCCGAGACCTCTATACATAATGGTCACACTGACTGAATCCCATTTATTCTGTTAAATCCTTTCATACGTTTTCCTACATCTTTCTGCTTTGATGGAGGTGTTTCCTTAAAAAGACACCTTGGTAACACATCATCTCCAAAGTACATTGCTTTAGAATACATGTAATACTGCTCTATGCAGTTAAATCTCTGACCATTAATGGTTAATGTACATGGATGGAAATAACTGAAAGGCTATGTCCAACCATAGAAAAAAATTTACTCCAGCATTCAGAGTTGTCAGGGTTACAAAAGGCACACTGTAAGTATCCTATCTGGTTTTGGTGATCGTCTTGTACTCTGTCTTTCATATCCAGTACAGAATCGGGCATGACCATTGGTGCAAAGATACCCTTAGCCGTACGTACGACTCTTCCCAGTTGTTCATTTTTCTCCCACTGTCGTAGATCCACCCCTTGAGGATCCAAAGTAGCATACATATTGGCTCCCACATAGGTACAATCATGGGTCCTTCCTTGATCGATGGTAACCTGAAGCTTGAAATGTATTCCACGAAGTTCAAACCAGAGTTTCAGAGTTATCACAACACCTCGTTTTTGTGGGGTAGCTTTTACCACTAGGATAACCTTGATATTGGCTGATGTGGACGTTCAGCTGTCTCTGCCACATCTTGGTTGTCACAAATACGCCCTTGCCAAAGTCCAAATAACAAGGACCCTGTAACTCTGTCAGTGACTTGTCAATAAGGTCAGGAGTCTCAAGACCCAACAATTTCATAGCTTCTGCCCCTCCACATTCCTCCAAAGCTTTGTGGTTTAGGAGGTAAGAGTTCGCCCTTAACCCCGCTTGAAATGTATGCTATTTATTATGATTATTTCTAGGGGTTTAGGTTTAGGGTTTAGATTTAGCATTATGTTGGTTTAGGGTTAGGGTAGGCCACATAAAGATACTGTGCATTGTCAAAATATTATTCCAGTTGATAAGTACGATAACAATGTCAAAGGTACATATAAACTTTAATGGAGGGATCATGAGACCATAACAAGTCGGGAGAATTTCAATTGAAAAGTCAATCACAATGACGTCACGAGTCCACAAGCGGGACAGGGGTCAAACGACCATGTCACAAGCTCAATAACGGGTATGTCCACCATCGGCATTGAGAACAGCAGTGCATCGACGACGCAAAAGTGCAAGGAAGGCTTGTGGGAAGTCACGCAAGATTCTCTCAAGTTCTGTGGCAAGGTCAAGGACGTTATCTGGCGGATGAGGAAGACGGCGTATACGTCGATCCATCTCGTCCCAAACATGCTCTATCGGGAGAGATCCGGTGAATTTGCAGGCCAAGCAGTTGTTGTATATACCTCTGTTTGATCGAATTTTCTATCAAAATGGTCCCGGAGGCGTGGCCTATCCCGA